CCTACGAGAAATCAAATCAAGTATCAATTTCGAAAGTTAAATAAAAAGTACGACGTGAACCTAAAGCAACAGCTAATAGTCGAAATCATTGACGATAACCTAGACTCACAGTCGTCTAGCTGAAACTAATCAATGTTTTCGCATATTAGCTCATGACGAAACACAACACTTAATTGTACTCGTACACACTACTTCAGAGTTATAAAAAAACAGATCGGTACTAGATGCATGCACTATTTTAAATTACGTACTAAAGCAAACTAAAGCAATATGTGCTACAACACAGAAGGAGCAGCCCGGTAGGCACAATAAATTTAAAAAACTTGTCTCCAAAATTAAAACAGTACTAACGAAAAGCTATCTAATATTCCTATGGAAAAACATATAAGACGAGACAAAACTGAACTAAAGTTTCCATAATCAATAGTTATTCCACCTCAAATATTTTCTTCAATCTTGTTTGGGGTCAAATACACAAACGTGCAAATGCGAATAGTGAGCAAATCCCTTATTTCATATCCTCTACAACACAATAGTTTCATCTCAAAAAAGCCTAGTGAATATGATTGTCTTTACTTTTGTTTACGTAAACAGAGTTTGAAACGCAGAGGAATGTGATCATCGTGTTCTCCATTTAAATTTACTTCGGTCTAACAGATATGTCAGGCGAGAAATCCAACTTCAAAACTTGTTTAAAAAGTATATCTTAGAAATACTCCTGGAATATATCATCCAGTGCCAGTCATTTCTAGGGACGGAATGCTAATTTTTTATAGAGTTATAGTTCACCGAGAGTACTTTCAAATTATAAAGACCAACTCCACAAGTAATCGATGTTTTGGGCGAAAACAAATCCTGAAAATCCTACTTTTTGAAAGGGATCTTTCTAATCTAATGGAACAACATAGATAGCTGAAAATATCAGGAATCATATATCTTTTAGTGCTCTATCTACGCTGAAAATTTCAGACTTCTATGTCACTCCAATCAAAAGTTATGAAACACAAAATTTACCAAAAATCAAGATTTTTTCGTATATTGTGTGATTCATAGAATCCTAATGGCCCAATGTTTCTCAATAAAAATTTTTTTGCTAATAGAACTTACTGGGATATATGTTTATAAAAAATATCAGCTCAATCTGTTGAGCTATTGATGAGATATCATTTCATCAAGACCCCCGTTTTTGGCATGGGTCGTTTGTAGGGCTTTTAGTAAAATGCTCGTAAAAAATTGGCAGATCAATATTTTTCGAAATGGCTTGCGCGAAAATTCTCAGAATGCTTCCTTCTATGACATATATTAAATTGAGCAAGATCTGACTATCTTGTCTCGAACAAGCGGGATCGAGGTTTACATACCCTATCTCAAAAAAAGGCCTACCATCTTAGATATACCTCCCAAAGATGACCTCCGATGCAAGCCATTTCTAGAGATCCCACGCTAATTTTTTTATGGGCTTGTAGCCTTAAGAGAGTACTTCAAACTTCTAAATGCCAACTTCCCAGGCGATCCATTTCTTGGGAGAACTCGAAACCAGAAAAACCTCGTTTTTGCCAAAAACCGGTTTTTCAGAGGACTCCCCTGAGTGAACGGAACCATATAAACAGCTGAAAATTTTAGGAGACATATATCTTGCAGTGCTCTATCTATGCTGCAAATTTCAGACTTCTATGTCATTCTAATCAAAAGTTATGAAACACAAAAGTTACCAAAAATCAGGATTTTTTCGTATTTTGTGTGGTTCATAAAATCCTAATGGTTCAATATTTCTCAATAAAATGTTTTTCGTTAATAGAACGCACTGATATATATATCTAAAAAAAAATATCAGCTCAATCTGTTGAGCTATTGATGAGATATCATTGCATCAAGACCCCCATTTTTGGGATGGGTCGTTTTTAGGGCTTTTAGTAAAATGCTCATAAAAAATCGAAGGATCAATATTTTTCGAAACGGCTTGCGTCAAAATTCTTAGAATACTTCCCTCTATAGCATATATTAAATTGAGCAAGANCTCATACATTGGTAATAATGCACGATTCTTAGCGGAAAAAAATGTCCGACACTATTATAATGAATTTTCAAGAAATTAATTGTCTTGAATTTACTAATGTAGTACACAAGACTGCGTAGTTCTTGCAATTTCATTATCTCAAGAAGAATAATATAGAACAATTGATAGCATGAAGACAAATTATGAAGATAATCGTTTGATCTATTTAAAGTATATTTTTTTATATATTTCGTGGCATACGATTGAAAACGAGTGTTGAAGTTGCTAAGCAAGAAGGTTGGACCCCTACAAAGAATGACAGATATATCGCAATTCTAACTCGTGGTTTTTCAGATCATTCAATTTAAGATTTGTGGACTTAGGACTTCCGGGTTTTTTAATTCAAAGTTCAAAATAATCTATTTTTCTCTGATAATGTATTCAATTAGCGTCATATTCATGTGAAATAGATCCATTGCTTTTCACATTTTAATCACGTTGAGATTATCCTAAAAGCTTTTTCTTTTAATTAGAGACTGACTTTGTAGAGAGTGTGTCGGAAGTGGAGAACTCTTTGCGATAAGTAGAGAATAAATTAATAAATGGATTTTTGGAAAAAGCATATTCACGTTGTTATTGATGAGTAATCTTTGTCTTATTCACGTTATTCTTTGAAATATTCAAATCTTGTTGTTGCTGTTCATTAGTAAGATGGCGATCTTCGAATCTAAAATGTGCGATTCTCCCTCTGCTGATTAACTTTAACAGTCACAGTGAATATAGCAAGTACCGCTTGCAATAGAAGAAATCCCATCAATTACAGAGCATCTTTCAGAGTTAAGTCATAGAACTCGCATCACCGTGGATGATGTCTATTATCCACCATGACTGCATAGTCAGTCATTGTGTCACGCTCCTGTTCAGACAAAATCGTGTGCATCATATTTCTTCAGAATACTAAAAGCACGTGCTATTGTTGTATTTGATGTTATTTCAATCTGGTTTTTGACAGTAAGATATACTTTAGCTTTAGAGACAGATTTCAGGACAGATATGGTGTTGAACCATCCAGCGTTATGGATGATCGAAGATAACTAAAAAGAATATTTTCCGTAAGAGGTATTATCTTTCCTTTAAAAAATCTTGATATTTGTTGCGTGTTAAAATGAAAATGTTCGGCATCCGATAGGAGAGAATCGAAAATAGTGGAAGATTTCACTGAAAAAAATAGCCAATTACTGAACAAGTATATATTCATCTTTTGTACCTATCGAATAAAAAGTGAAAAGCATACCGCTCTCAATATAGCTAAACATTTGGAATTTCGAAACAAAAATGAAGTTCTAATTTTACCATATTCAGCATTCAAAATAACTACGAGACAAAAAAACTGCAACAATGGATTGAGATACACCTACAAGAATGTGACTCAGTACAACTATTGAATACAGTAATTGATCAAAAGAAACAATCTTCTGTTTGACATTGTGAACGTTTTGGTTTAACAAACTATCCAGACCGAGATACAAATCGATTTAAAGAAGAAAAAATAGACTCTCAGTTGTAGAAGGTTTTCTTTGTGAGTATATTTTCTAAGTCTATGTTTAGTTTTTCTCTATACTACAAGAATATAGTATGTAAGCGGTAAATAAATCGTTTTTATCTTCGTATCTACCTATATCATATATGTCGAACTCAAAACTTGAATTCAATTATTGAACATTTGAATACATGAATTGAGTACTTGAAATGAATAAATGAATTTAAGTTTGAAGTTTGACATTATTGCCCGATGTCAAACACTTTTAAAACGAGAAAAAATGAAAAAAAAAAGACTCATTACGCCTACAAGAAAAGTTTTTGTTTTGTGCATGTCAGACTTCATGACATTCCTTTCAAATTTGTCTGTCGTGTATAGCAGATCGTGCTTCAATAACTTCCTTTAGTTCCTCGTTAATTTTGTATTCATCATTAAACACTCATCACATTTACTTAAAACGATGCGGGATATTCACGTGAAAGGATTAATTAATAAGACCATTAATGCATTGCTAACAAAGACATTCGCTTTTGCTGACGATAAGTAATAATAATAAGAGGAATGAGAGAGTAACTTCCATTCGTCTTAAGAACTGTTTTTACTGTATTTTGAATCTTCATCTATTTTCTATACCGAATAATAAACTAAAAACATACATATGTCGACTAACAGCAGCTATTTGGCAACACTATTGTAAATGGTCTCTAACATCACATTGTACATCGACTTTGTCACTTTGATTTTTGGAACAATTGGTGGTATTGGTAATTTAATTACATTCAGCGGTCGACAGATTCGTCAGTCTTCAACTGTTTTCTATTTATTATGTGCCTCAGTGTTTCAACTAATCACTATTCTATTTTGTGTTGTAACTCGCTTGACTTCTGATCGATCTCAAAGTAATTTGCTACATCAATCGACTGCATTTTGTAAATTGCGTTTTTATTTTGTGGTGACCTGACCTGCACTCGCCTCCTACTATATGCTTTTGGCTACTCTCGATCGATGTGCGTCTACATCAGACAAGGTTAGAATACGTGCATGGAGTCAAATTAAAGTCGCAAAGCGTTTGGCAGCTGGTACAATGATAGCCGATTTTGTAATCTCAATACATATACTTATTTTTTATGATATTTATAACAATATATGTCAAATTAGTCCGGGAAGTATCTATGCGTTTGTTTGTGCTGGCTACGATACCGTTCCTGTATCATGTAATCAATTTCAGAGGATTAAAAATCGGTGGAAGATTACACTTGTTGATACTAGAAAATGGGCGGTTATAAGAGATACGAGCAGTATCATCGAAGGAATACTTTAAAAACTGAAGAGACTTTTCTATTTTTCACTATACTCCAACTTTAAGCGTATTGGCTTCAAAAACTGATCAAAAAGGTAAAAATATCAAGTCTTTCTTTGTTCGTATCATAAATGAGAAAATAAATGACCTAAAGTGCTTCGATGGCATCCTCAATTCAGTTTCAGCAGTTGCAATTTTGATAAACGACTCCCAGATTAGAGTAAAACTTGTAAAAAAAGAATGAACATCTAAGATTTCAAGAACATTTCTGACTGGTCGAAAATCCAGAAGACCTAAATACGTAGCGTTTGCCTGGTGATTGTATCTCCTAGCAGAGCTCTAGCCTTGGGGTTTCAAATCAATTAAGAAACTCGAAATTTGTTAAAATTTCAGCAGTCTCAGGTTTAAAGTCTATAGTACACGGGTGCAAAGATTTGAAATTCCATTGTTCCAAAATCCATGATATCAAGGTCCGTGGAGCAGGACCGCGCAGGGATCTAATTTTCTCGCTATTTACTTCAACGATCGTTTTTAGTCATTTATCAAGAAAAATTGCGCATTTTATTGGACCACGCATTCAATGAGGTAAAGAAAATCTACTTTCAATCATCGCTACTGTAAAAATGGGTGCCTTGAAAATGAATGGGGGTGGGGGAGGGACTTACATTCAAACTTACACTCACTATTTTGTAAAACACTATTGAAAGTGAGTGTTGCAGTTTCAGAGCGCGAGAAAGTTGGACCTACCGGTCTCCTTCCCCCTTACAGACTATGACAGACATGTCGACATCTTATAATATCGTTTGTTGAACCATTTTGTTTAGAATTTTCGAACATCGGACTTCTGTATTTTTGGACCCCACATAGATTTCAAATCTAGAAATTCGTAAAAAATCTATGTTTTTCTCTTGATGGGGTAAATTAGACATGATTACAGACAATCACAGTCGCTTGGGGATAGTGCTTTCTGAACCTTTTTGGCGGATTGTAATGAAAATAACAAGCATCTTCATGTTCATGTGTAATAATTTCATCGTGTTTCGTATTTTAATCCTGTAGGAATTGTGCTGAAAGCTTATTATAGTGAGTTCGACAAAATAAATATGAATGTGACGATGGATCGGCGAAAATCTTGCGAGATTTAATTATGGTTATTTTATTACTGGCAATTCATTTACGGATACAATACTCGATAAGATTGTTGATATCTATTTATCACACACTTCACGTCGTACTCACACAGTTCGAACAAGGCAAACATCTCAGAAGCGACTCAACCTTTGGGTCAAAGAAGCTGCTCTCTACAAAAAAATTCACTTTGAAAATGGAAACTTCAACAAGAAGTATTCATGGTGAATATTGAAGGACGATATGAGCTATCTTGCATACAAGAAATTCAAGGAGCGAAGTATGACTGATCAACCAATAAAAGGTCATTTAGTTTATAAATTGGATCTTTAACAACGTTTCTAAAGATAACGTGAAAAAGGAACTTGTTTGCGATAAAAAATATTTGACTAATGTCGAGTTATCTTTTTTGACTCTATCTAAAACGAGTTTCAGATCAAATCATGTACGGGTTGTAGAGAATTTCGAAAATATCTATTCACCCGTTAGATGAATATAGAATATCTCATGGTTATAATGCGAAAAAAAGATGAACATTGAGCAAAGACATGGTTATTTTATATTTGAATGACATCTATTTGATGATCATTATTATATTTTTGCCTCATCTTCTTATGTTAATCTTTTCTCTCATCACTATCTCGGCGATTAGAAAATCACGAAAACGGGTGGTAGCTGCAACGATAGTGAATCATAAATCGCATCATCAAGGAGTGCAACGTTTAGAATTGAAACTTGTCCAGGTATGATTTTGCTTGTTAATTTTTCTTTTAGTCCTGATTAATGATTCGCTTCATAATGAATCAGTACACTAATCAATGAATTTTTCAAAAATTTAGATCATTATAATACAAGTGACTCTAAGCATATTGCTTAGTCTACTACGTCTTGGTTCATATTGCTACTCGATCATCACCATTACTTTTAGCAAAAGAACAGCCGATCAACGTGCTCCAGAAACGTTTGCTCAACAACTTGGTGGCTCTTTGTACTTTTTCAGTTTTGCTACATCTTTCTATGTGTCGATTCTCTCGAGTCAATTCTTTCGTGATACCTTTTACGAAAGAATTGTTCATTTATATCGTATTTGTATTGGACAATTAGTACAAAAAAACCTATGCCAATAATATAACTACCATTCTTGCCACTAACTGTTATCCAGAAACATTAAAAAGAACCGTTCACATATCTAAAATTCATGTATCATCACTAACTATCAACAAGAAGATTAACGAATTACAGTGAACTACTCAGTATTATAAACTGTTTGATCATTTAATGTTCTTTTTAATAAACTAAAACTTATCAGCTCACACAAAATTTACTAACTGTAGGCGAGTTTGTAAAGTAAAAATTAACCGAACAATTACTTGTGGAATCCTTAAAAGCAAATGAAAAAAGGATGTTAAGCCAGTCAACAAAAAGGAGAAGCGATAAGAACGAAATCTTATTTCGTTTTCATTTCAAGTTTTCTCTACAAATATTGAACATCACGGCATCTAAGAGGTCACATTCTTACACCATATACGTAGTATGAACAATTGTGATTGGCTTCCAGATTTGACACAACGTTGTAAGAACCATAAAAAAACCCGAAATGAAAAAATTGAAGCGTAGACAATTTTTTCGAAAGCTTTTTTAAAAACTTTATAAACCATCGAGCGAATAAAAACGAGAATAAGAACTTTTTTGTCTTGTTCAAAGTTTCGAAATTGAAGAACACAAAATATTAGTTTTTATTTATACCACATATCGTACATCCTAGAAACTTACTGGATAAAATGATTCATATCTAAAAACATATATGTAGAAAATTTAATTACATAAAATTATCTGTTTTTTTAAATGCGTGTCGTTGATCTCGAGTAATTTGCACACAATATGCTTGCTATATGAAATTGATTCATATTTAAATAAATCTTCTCAATGCGTAGGTAAAGCGAAAGCAACACCAACATCAACACCCCAAAGGCTGCTAAGAAGAACATGTTTCGCTATTGCTGAAAAAAATCCATACGAAGCGCACTTTGAGTAGTATCAGAAAGTAAAAAATGGTAAGATCGCCCGAAAAACACTTCAAAAAGCAAGGGGATAGGGCGTACCGAAGCTGCGGGTGTAGATGAAACTGACTACAGACGAAACACCCATACCACATACCCATAATATGAAATAGGAGACTAACTAAGAATAGATGAAAGCTAAGAAGCTCTCAGAATAAAACGATTCAAAGCCCAAGCACAGTAGAGTTGAGAAAAAATTACCAAAAAAATTGAACAGTTACAAACTCGAAGACGACTTTTAATATTCTAAATGAGTTTTTAACGTTTATACTAAATTTATATCAAGAAAACTTTATTTTTGAGTTTCAAAATTCTTACAATTGAAAAAATAGATTATGCGATACGTGGAAATAAACATTTCTTAAACGCTTCATGTTAATTGTCGTCTATTATTTGTTGATGTGTATTCAGCAAGTTTCCAGACAACAATATGATAGATTAGTTCTATTAATATGAGCCTCTTGGCTGAAATGTTTCATGCTCATCAGCACAAGCACGACGAGTAAATTCATCAACACAAGCCATTCGAAGTCGTGCGACAGTTGCTGGCGAATGAAGTGTAAAATAGTCTGATAAACCTTGCGCTTCTCGATAGGCTTGACATGCTTGTTTTAAAGCAAAAAAAGCCGATGCAGCAAGTAAAACGGGTGGTTCACCGATACCTTTTGACGAATAAATAGCTCGTGGATTTAATGAATCAGATAGTAATGAAACACGAAAGTCTATTGGAACATCACTAAATGATGGAATTTTATAAGTATCAACACCATGAGTGAATAATTCTCCTGGCGGAATCCATTTATTGAGTTTCTCATCACCCCAGATGAGTTCTTCCATAGTAAACAACCCAATTCCTTGCATAAAACCTCCTTCAATTTGACCAATATCAATTTGAGGATTGAGTGATATACCAACATCCTATAATAATTAAAATAGATTTATCATTAATCACATACGAATTAACATACCATGAGAATATCAACACGTAAAAGTTGCCAATCTCCTGTTAATACGTCTAATTCGACTTCCGTCACTGCTGCACCTTGTGTAAAATAATTACGATGAGCTCGATTTTTCTTGAAATCAATATCGAACATATTCGGTGTCAGATAGAATCCGCGTGCACATAAATCAAGACGAGCAAAATAAGCTTTTTTTACAAGATCTGCCCATGATATGTTAACACTATTATCAGTAATGAGTGTATCTAAACGTTGACGAATTTGTTGACAAGCATCTTTTACAGCCATTCCATTAAGATCGGTTGAAACTGATGCAGAAGTTGGACTCACATTATGGGTTTTATCTGTTGCTGTTTCTCGAATTCGTATTTGATCAATACTACAAACTAATATTTCAGCAGCTATGGCTATAATTTTTGTATGTAATCCTTGACCAAACTCGACGCCGCCATGACTAATTACTACGGAACCGTCTTTGTATACATGTACAAGAGCTCCTGCTTGATTCAAACATCCAACTGTGAAACCAATTCCAAACATAGCTGGTATCATAGTTATACCACGTTTTCGATATATATTTTTCCGATTAAATTCTCCAACATCGAGTTGTCTTTGAATAAAATCACTTGATTTAGTAAGTTCATTCAAAATTCGTGGTACATTCCATTGGTCTAAAATTTGTCCATAATGAGTTGTATCACCTTCTTTGAATAAATTAAGATAACGAATAGCCAATGGATCACATTTCAGATATGCAGCAACATGTTCTACAATTGATTCACATGCTAGCATAGCTTGCGGTCCACCAAACCCACGGAAAGCTTAAGATAGAAAACAAATGTTTTGTTTATATGAACTTTTTATGAAACAAACCAGTATTTGAGGGTAAATGTGTTTTACAAATACGACCATGAATTTTAATATTAGAAAATTGATATGTATTTCCCATATGAAGCATAGCGGCTTCCATAACGGTGTTTGATATATCCAATGTACAACCAGCATTACTCCACATTTGAATATCAAGTCCTAAAAAATGACCTTCGCTGTTAAATGCTATTTTATATTTAATTTTAAATGGATGTCGCTGTCCGGTGATTGCCATATCGACACAACGTTCAAGATTAAGACGAACAGGACGAGCAAGTTTAACAGCAGCTACTGCTGCAGCAAGGCACGGAGGTATACTGAAAGATAAGAAAATTATGATGTAATACATTAGAACAAGGCTATCATATCGCAGATTTCAAATGAGGTGTACACGTTTGTAAATAGAGTACGCGTAAGACACATGAGCTTAAAATCTCAAAGAAGACCAATTTTGATAAGAACATTTTTTGTAGGAAAGACTGTGCTTGATGGTTTTTGCTGAACACAGTATTCGTTTTGTTCATTTTTAATGGTAATTAAAATCATAGTTAAAGAACTTTTTGATACAATTTCATCATAAACATTAAGAAAGGTGCATTCCAGTGAAATAAATATTACCTATTCATATCAATTGGCTAGTGTAGAAACCTCTCCAGATGTCCAGTTGCTTTTCGATCGACACGGTTTTGATTTACTCCATCCTAATGAGTAGTAGGAAATTGTAGAACATTTTGGTTTCCCACGTCTTTGGTTTTTAAATATCGAAACTTAACTGGTTTTTTCAACAAAAGAAAATGGCATGCTCATCTCCAGTCACTAAAAAAAAAATCGAATTTCGAGTTTCGACCTCAAACTTTGCAGGAGCTATGCTTTCAATGAAATTAGTTCATTGATCAAGTTGTACTATATAAAATGTTATCATTTCATTTTCACTAATTTCTCTACACTTCATACGTGGTTGAGTGTAGAAATGGGATGTGAACGAAGAATTCAAGTTTAAACAATAATAGATATAACAGTACGATTGATAATATCTACTTACATGTGGCTAAAATGAGAAGTTTGCGATTGTTTCTACTATCATACAGTTGATTGTATTTAATGTAGAAAAACCATATAGGTTAGAAAAAAAAATGTGAGCCACGGGGGGATGTTTTAGCAGAGTAGAAAAGTTCCAAATGGAATACATTTGGTAGCCGTGCGGTAGAGAGATGAAATCTTTCACTTACGATCTCGTTTCTTTTCCACCAAATGCTCCACCAATTCTTTTGATATGACAAGTTACATGACTCACATCTCGACCAAGTACCAATGCTGTTAATTCTTGAGTAAGACTTGGATTTTGTGTTCCCACATATAAATCTATTTCTTTATCATCATTTGACGGTATAACCATACAAGAATTTGTTTCCATATAAAAATGTTCTTGGCCACCAATGTATAATGTATCTTCTAAAATATGTTCAGCATCCAGAAAAACTTTTTGAACATCACCTTTACGAAGACAAAGTTCATCGTCAAAATAAGATTGATGAATAATAGCATCGTCGATAGAAAATATTCTTGGTAACAATAAATCATAATCAATTTTAACAAGACTTGAAGCTAATTTAGCTCCATGTTCGGATTCACAAACAACAAGACCAATAATAGCACCAATACAAAGTGCAACTGATGATACAAATACTTCTTCATCAGTTAACAAACCAGTCAATTTATTTGAGCCTGGTACATCAATATAGTTAACAAATGATACAAAACCTGCAACTTTTGAAGCCTCTTCAATGTCTATTATTAGATTCATTTTTAATGAAATTTATCAAAATACAAAGAGAAATTTTACCAATATGTTTTATTCGTGCATTCGCTTTTGTACTAAGTACAAATGAAGCATAAAGTGTATTAATATAAGATGGCATATCATCTACATATATAGCCTCTCCTGTTGTATGTAAGTAAGCAGATCGATGTGATAATGAACTACCAACAATCTTTTGTGTTTGAGGTCGTTCAGGTATTGTCTGTTGACCATAAGATATTCTTCGATGATAATCAAAATTCATTGAATCACTTATTGGTTGACGTAATTTGTTACATACATACGAATAAAATTTAAACAGAAATGATTGAATTAATGTTTGTCTAAAACAAACTCAAAATAATAACATTGTGAACTGATAATAGTTACCTATATTGATGTTGACCACCTGGACTTAATTCATCGAGTGGCATTTCTTTAATAAGTAATTCATATGCTTGATTAATTGTTTGTTTTGTCCATAGTGATCCAATTAAATTTTGTTGAGTATTTATTGCTAAAATAGTTTTTGACCCCATTCCACCAAATGATAAACAAGCTGAATTAATTTTCCATTGATTTTTATCACCAAAATTCATTTTTTCAAGTTCAACTTTAAATGCAGCACTAACAATTCCTTTCGAATTATCTCGACGACGAGCTTGCTTATATGAACGAAGAAAATATTTATTTGATGAATTTTCACAAGGAATATGAATGGCAACAAGAATTTCATTATCGGCCATTGAAATACGACGATTACCAAGAAAAAAGTCGCATAATTGAATATGACGTACTTTTTCATTATCAGAACAATGCAATTCAAGTATAGCACCTGCAGCTTCTAAGACTGGATTGATATCTGAACTAGAACAAAAAACAACGAACAGAGTTTAAGATATGTTTTGTTTGAGTGTTATTTACAGAGGTGAAGCAGAAATTATATTTCCACCAATTGAAGCAACGTTTCGTATTTGTGTTGATGCAAAATGTTTCATTTGATCGAGTAAAGCTTCACAAAAACTATTATCATTATTATTCCATTCAATTAATTTGGATTTTAAACGAGCAAATGTAACACCAGCTCCAATATATAATGAATTTTTAGTTTGTTTCAGTTCTTGTAATTCTTTAATATGTGTTATTGATATCAAACGAGAATAATTCATTTTACTATATTTTCTTTCAAATTCTACTCTTGTATTACCAAAAATAAGTTTTGATTGATTACCTGGATAAATGTGACGAAGATGAATAAGTTCATTCAATGATATTGGACGATACCATTCATATGAAGAGCCTATTTATTTATAATGACAATATTAATCATACAAACGAACATTTTCTGATGTTAAAACAACTTTTCAACTCAACTGTTATCCAAAAGTAAAGAATATGTAGACTAAAAGAAAAACTAAAGAACAAATGGACAACAATGATAGCTTAGCTAAGATAATAGCTTGTGCTGCAAAATTTCACTTGAAAAACATAACATAGATGAGTTTGCTTACTAAGTCTCCGAGATTTTCGACATTTTGCTGTTCGAAATAATCTATTCTTCAAAGTATTCATCTATAAAAACAATATTCATGAAAAAGTATCTTTATATTCGAAGATATTATTATTGTGAAAAATTGTTATGTTGCAGCAAAAGCTAATATCGTATTTAAATCATACTAATTCACAGATCGTTTTAAACTTTTTTATGCTGTATAGATTCTCTTATTGTTCAGAAAAAAAAATTTTTTTTTTCATTTTAATATAGTCATTTGTTAGATTGATATGATGTGATACCTTTAATATGAATTGATTGAGGAATATAATTTCGAAGTTTGTCTGGAAATTGAACTTGATCCATTGGTAATGTGTTTTGACGAGCATATGAAAAACATTTATCGAAAGTCGTTGATGTTCTTGATGATGAAGATTTTTGATGATCGAGTTTGTTAATATCACATGCAAATGTTTTTGCAGCATCAAGAATCGGACGATATCCAGTACATCGGCAAAGATTTCCATCAAACGATTCTTCAATATCTTCCATTGTTGGTAATGAATTATCTTTTGATGTCACTGTTCCATATAAAGACATGACTATACCTGGTGTGCAAAAACCACATTGTGATGCAAATAATTCTGCAAGACGAATTTGAGTAGAATGATGGTTTGATTTGCTGAGTGAGCTTAATCCTTCCACAGTGACTACATGACATCCATCAACAGAACATACAGGTGCTAGACATGCATTTATTGTTCGATGTTCAATTTCACAAGAATCTTGATCAATACATCGTGATATTAGAACTGTACAAGCTCCACAACCACCTTCACCACAACCTAATTTTGAACCAGTCAGTCTTAATTCTAAATGGAAAAAAAGATAGAAATGGATCTCATTTAACAATATTTCTACAATTTACTATTTCTTAAATACCAAAGAAGAGTCCACTCAGGCTCTATACTACGCTCAAGAATTTCTTTTCCATTGACATAAAATAAGAGGTGGTCGACCATTGTCATTTTGTTTCTTAAATTATCTTTGTTCTGCGCTCAGGTATATGTGTTTGATCAAACAACAGAGATAAGCAAGTTGATGATATGGGAGCGATGAAATTGGTATACTATCAGTTGGTTAAAACTGTTTCTTTCTTTTAATTACTATAAGCAGATGCAATTCTTACTGGGAGCATCTATTTGAAAATTGCAAACAATGAATGAATTGAAAATATTCTGATTTATTCGATATGAGAACAAGATAAACAATGAGTGAAGGATATTCTTTTCGCGATGGAAAGTCCTATTCATTTATAACTCATATAAGCAAATTTTAGAAGAACATCGTGGTGTTTGGCAAGGTGTGGATGTAGTGTAACGGTTATTTGACGGTTACGCTTCACTCTATGTATGCTATCCTGTTCCCTATACTCATGTACTTATACGTTGACCTTGTAACCATAATCCTACTGTTCTATAGCGTGACTTTTTCTTCTTTACTTATGTTCGTTCATATGTGATAGCACTCTTATATATAAGGAGATGTAAACGAAGGAAAGGCACGGCTAAATATGTGCAGACGACACAATACACCATCATGCCGACGGGCATAGGTGAATACTCTATCAGTTCATCACGTGTGGATGTGGATGAAAAAGACACCCACACCACATCCCACAGTCCCTGTTACATTTACACGCTCTTTCATATTACAGAGTGTACCGATGTAGGATTATGCAAAAAGCATGAAAAACTAGAATCAATAGACTATTTTCAGATATACTTTTCGACGTCATAGTATGACCAATAACCATCGATGTTAATCATGTTCAATGCATATATCCAGTGTCCATCTAAGGATATGCAAGTCATTACTGTTAATTGTTGCTATTGATAAATAAATGTATACATGTAGCTACTGTTAGCTGGTTTCAACGAGCTTTACTTCGTTTATTTTCTTCAAATCGGAATGTCCTGAAATCAGCGTACATATATATATGTTGTAATTGAGTTTGGAATCTAGTTGAGATTGGAATCACTTAATTCACTTTGTTTGTTTAAAAAGTTTTCTAACACATATTCAAGAAACCCATGTGTTCGAGGGTGTGGGTGTGGGTGTGGGCATGAATGTCCCTGCAACTGCCACTTAACCTAAAATTCACGTCTACGCCCATATCCACATAACACACCCACAGTCACACCCTCAATCAATTTATAGAGACTTACTGGAAAACGGTGAAATATTCATTTTTCTATGCGTAGTTTGTATTTGGAAGATTTGTCAGCCAAAAATTCGATCGAAAAATGCTTTACCTGTGACATTCATGATCAAATCGATGAACTGTATTGGTTCATGTAAGGATGAGTTGATTGGTGAATTTGAAAATATATTAAAAAGAACAAAAGCCTACTGGGGAGTTTACCAGTTAAATTATGATGGACAAGAAGATAAGCTGCTGTAGATATTTGTTGCAAATACAGTTCATATCAATTTAAATCACTTGGTGTCGGCTACGATATTCTTTTCTTCTCTCTGTTGAATAACTTCTAATAATTCATTGGTCTCTTGAATTAGTCTTTGGAACTCGCCTTTTGCAGCATCTGCATTCGAACGTTTTGTTGCTGGTAAGTTTTTCAATCGCATTTCATTTGTTTTCTTCGTACATTTCAAAGATTCTTTAAATTTGTCAAGTTTATAGTACGATAAACATAAGTCTCAATATGTTTTGATAAAATCAGAATGATTCGATGGTGGAGAATTTTTTGAATTTCTAATGCTTTTTGTAAATATTGATTTGCCTCTTAATAAATTTTTGTGTAGCAAACAGTTGTGGCATGCACTGGTAGGTTGTGAAAAATGATGGATAATTGTGCGGCAAATTTTTTAGTTGAATTTCCAAAGCCTTTTCGCACATTTCCATTACTCCTGAATAACGTTTCTGTCGTTTGTAAATGACGGCAATATTTCTATAGTCACTATCAGCATCACAACATTCAGTTTCTTCTGGATGTTTTGAACTTATTTCCAACATTTTATTATGATCGAATAGTGTCTGTTCCAAGTCGCCGTCTCGCTTATATATCCTTACTCTAATACTGTAAGTTATCATTAAAATTGGATGATGTTCAAGCAAATGTTTAAGATCTATCTCGAGCACTTTTATATAGTATTCTTCAGATTTATCTCTTTCTCGAATTGCACTGTACATGTCTCCGAGCTCATTGCAGATGTAAACACTTGTAGTAAAATCTTCTATAAGCTGTGAGTTTTGCATAGCTATGTTTAAAAAATTTATTGCTTTCCTGTACTGACTAGGAAACATTCACAGTTTCCCGAGCGCTTTCAAGTTGTGACTTATTGCATCTTGTAGACATTAGTGAGCTGTGCCTATGATAAAAAAAAGTTCGTGCTTAAGGCCGATTGATCAAGAGTTATGACCGATTTACTGACTCTTCGACCTATTTCAAAGGTGTTCACCGGATACTCAAATTACAAGATTTCGATCTGAAATTTTGCCCATAGATAGGATTAATGATAGTTAGAATACTTTGAAAATTTCAACCAAAATGAATGCTTCTTTCTTGAGATATTGAATTTTCACAAACTAGTCCTTTGTCGCTGGCTTGTCACAAAAATCGAATTTTCGTGAATACTCAATATCTCAAGAAAGAAGCATTCGTTTTGGCTGAAATTCCCAGGATATTGTAACTATCAATTGCCTTATCTATGAGCAAAATTCCAGATCAAAATCTTGTAATTTAAGTTTTCCGTGAACACCTGTGAAATAGGTCAAAAATTCAGTAAATCGGTCATAACTCTTGATCAATAGACCATAAGAACGATTTTTTTTACTATAGACACAGCTCACAAAGGTCTAAAAGATACGTTAAGTGGCAACTTGAAAGCCCTTAGGCACCTGGGAATGTTCCCTAGTGAATCATTTCGAATAGTAATATTTCCAAATGAATTTCAAGCGTAAAGAGCGGGGACATATAACAAGCCAAATCAGTCCACTGCCAAATTTCAATGAAAAAATAGTCAGACATAGGTAAAAAAAAGTCCGCTGAGGCGTTTAAAGACCATTCAAGTGAAATAGACTGATTCTTTTAGCAAAATTGGCCACTGAATAGTTCTTATACAACTAATATATAAAAGCCCTCCCTTCAAATGATAAAATGACCGTAATTACTACATTCAGAAGGATTTTTGAGCTTTGATGGATACCATTGGAGATAGCACTTTAAACTGCACAAGTTCTTTATGAGTACTAAAAATATCACTAACAAATAAAATTTTTTCAGTGATCACCTTTTACTATGAATGGTCTGAAATCGATATAAAATAATGCCGGCTGATGTTCTGACTGATCGTGTTCTCTTATTCTTCGTTTAGAACACATTCGTTCACATACCAATCAATAGAGCTTGAAAAGCTCTACACAATGAGAAAGTGTACGGGAAACAGAAAGTGAGTTAGGGATTCTGACAATTCTAACTGAACATGTAGAGATAAATGCTTTTCGTAGAACTGAGGGTGTGGGTGTGGGTGTGGGCGTGGGTGTGGGTACTCATTTCATTAAAACCACGCTCATGCTCACACCCAAATCAACACGCTTTTCACATTATCAGATAGCCATGTGCTGCGTTTAGTATAACGGTACGACTGTAGTCCTGGAAGCTCAAAACGAAGGCATGAGAGAAATAAGAAATGAAGTTAACAGTGTTCATGGAAACGTCTCCTAATTACAAAAAACATTACTCTCGACAACCTTACTCAGCTTCAGAATCTTTTCTCGACTTAAAATATTTTGACCAATTTCTCTTCATGTTTGATTTTGCTCGCGATGTTTAACTCTTTCTTGTTGACAGAATGATCTGATTGAAACAATGGTTGATAGAAGGCGTTGTTAATCAAAGCAAACAACTTCACAAGCCATATTGTTTTCAATTGCACCATCATGCTATCAAACACTTTAGAGCAGAAAAAATGCCATTACCAACGGAAAAATGTTTCATTTTGGTAAACGTGCGTTTGAAAGGCACTGATGGATCCCGCTTCTCCCAATTCACAACGTCGATTTTTTTCAGTCGGGGAGACTTATGTAAGATATTGATCATTGCAGTATCCAGCTAAGCTGGAGATTATTTTTCAGGATAGAACGACATCGAATATGAGAGCCGAAACCGTCCATGGTAAGGAAACGAATAATGCATTTCAACATGTACCATCGATAAAAACTCGGTACTAAATATGATGTGCAACTGTGACATCACAGAAAATACTTTCAATTTGTTTGTCTACAGGAGAGAATCACGGTGCAGCTGGCAGAAGACCTTGGCCATTGTATGTATCATCCATGCCGTCATCCTTGTGGTCGCTGTGATCGTCATTCCAATATATATTGTTCGTCTTTGTGTATCAGATTTGACTTTTAGATTATCTCACTAGAGCAAATAATTTCGCCTTTCTAAATGTCGTATTCAAGTCAAACGAACGAACTCTTCATTACTGAATGATTGAATGATGAAAAAAGAGCTAGCTAATATTTTCATTCTCTCTATCTAAACATTGATAATTGAGGCTTGTAGAGCAGCGAAAAAATAAACTATTCACTGTTTGTGCAACGAGCGAATGTGTTTTTTACAGAAAGCTTACATATACTTTTTGAACTTTGAACGGTCTTTCTTTGAAATCTCAAAATGCCAGTAGTGATTCGCTAACAAAAAAGGACCGGCCTACTAACTTTGAAGAACAGTTTTGGCAAGTATGGTGGAGGATAGGAAGCGGGATTGAGTTGGTAAAACTCAGTGTTGATTTGGAAAATAGCTGAGCCAAAGCAGATGATGAAGCACCAACATCTTTGGAAACCCGACTGTGCGGAAATCTGTTTTGCTTGTGAGGCCAGCAAACTCGATGCACGGGTGCACAAAAAGAAGAGAAAAGATCGCAAAAGACGTAGGTGAAGTTAGCGACCAATTCGTGTAGCTCTAGCGGCGATTCGTCCAAGATGCGGTGCAAATAGGATGTACGTATTGGTCTTCTTTACAGTCGCACCTGTACCCCATGCCATACCTAAAACGAATCCTAGACGAATCACCGCTGAAATTAGTGGCAGATCATCATGTAACCGATGGTGAGAAACCAGTATTTTTCAGTTTTGCGTCAGTATGGCTTCAGGTATCGTGAATCTGCCTTCACATTTCCATAGACCATGTCGAAATCTAGTTGAAACACGAATAAACGTACCTGGAACGTATCCTGGGCGAACCGTCACTGAAATTACTCGAATCGGTCGCTAACTTCACCTACGTTTGCAGAAGTGTTCATGCGTCTTTGTTTGCATCAAAACTCTGATTTCGCGAGGTTTCACGATACTTTGAAGATGAGTTCGGACAACTTTACCAAGATTAAATAATGATTTCTCATTATTTATGGCAATGAGTGTTGCTATTTGATTTATTTTCCAACTCGGGAGCTTAAAGTTTTCGCTTTTGTCTTGCAAAGATTTGTGTCATTTATAATATTCTTAAAGTTTTTAAGCACTTGAAAGTGATAGTTTGTCGCGATGAGCCGAATCACTGCTCACTGACTAGACGATGTGAATTCTAATGCTGACAACAGCTTTTTGTAGAGAAGTCATCAGTCAAGTCGACATCCGAGTAAGAAATTTTGAAACATAACCAAGAGAAATATATGTCAAATATTCGATCCGAAAGCTCGAAATGTTTCGGCTCAGGAACGATCCTATCTATTTAAGTGTGACTGATGTACATATGATTCCGAAGAGTTGAACGCTGTGACAATTTATTTTTATTTAGGAATCACGACAACAACTGCGGCTACCAGTAAAAATTTCTATTGTTGATTTATTAAGAAAACAACTTGCTTTATTTATAGCACCTGTCTACTTACCCAGTCAATGGTCTAACTACACACTCGACACAGATGCAACTCGTCTTTCAACATATGCTGCCAGTACATCGGCTTGTGATGTTAGTGTTTATTCTACGCCAGCAAAATATTGTTCAAAAATGGCATGAGCTGAGCTTTCTTCTTAGGAGTCACGATATTTCAACCAATATCCTGCATATGTGAATAGTCATTTGGGTACGTTTTTCTGGTGGAGGCGCAACTCAATTAGCTACAAGTACTCCTCAAACATATCGATGTGGAACTTCTGCCACAGGATGGTATGTTAGTGCTCTACCATCAACTGTTGGTTCAACCACGACAGGAGTCATCTGTTACAACTAGTCAAATAACATTTGCTATTGGTCTAACACGATTTCCGCTACTAACTGCAATGACTTTTATGTCTTTTTGCTTGTTTCTCCACCTCAGTGTACTTTGCGCTATTGTACTCAATAAAGTAGACATTGCTTGTTCTCTCGAATTTCTCAAATGTATATTAAACTTCCAGCGTAGCAAAGCTTTTTATTTATTCGACAAACGGATCCAAGTACAGAAAGTCACCTGATCGAATCCAACAACATTTTTATAGATTCTCATTGTAATGGATCCCCATCAGAACAATAGGGAAATTTGAGTTCTTTCACCGCATAGATCGCACATATTTTACTTTATCCCGAAGCACCTGTTCATTTATCTTGGCCCCCCCGAGTTTGTTGTACGGCGCTTCCACTCGTTGATCTGCTCGTCGAGGGTAACCACTTAGCGCTGAGGACTTTATTCAGGAAAAAGACAAAGAAGAAATTATTGATTATTGTCATCGAGATCATTAAGACAATTGACAGTAGCTCGTTCACATCAATAGATTTGAACAACATATGACATAATTTAACACAAAATATTTGATTTCGATTGTTAAGTGATCGACAGAAGTTCATAAAAAATGCAACGGGATTAATCCAAAAGACACATTTCTCACTTTATTCCAGTCTTAGATTCGATGAATTGATCGAAGCAATCGCTCTTTTACTTTTACTCACTTAGCTTGCAGATTCATGCTTTCTATTTGTCTCATGCCAGTGAAGATCCATTATCTTTTGGTTTGCTATCGAATCATCTGAAAGTCGAAAGATTGATGTCAATGGATGCAGAGAAAAACGAACTGTGTTCGATCGCGACAAGATCAATGAATGTTTGTCGATTCTGAGGAATATAGCGGAAGCCAAAACTAGACAATATTTTGGCCATTTTCTAGCGAAATTTACCCTAAAGAGGCTCCATTTAGCAGCAAGTTTTTGATCATACAGAAGTAAAGTGCAAGCATCTTTCTACAAAATGAGCTATTGACAAGATTTGTATCTACTGTAAAAAAATGCAGAATCGAACTTGTTTCTTCGATGCATGACTAGGCATTACAAAGCTTCATTTTCTGTTACTTCGGAGACGTGATCGAGAACATTCTTTTTTCCACTGATGTGATTGTCTGAATTCATATCACGAAACCTCGACGACCAATTAGATGGAAAAGTGATTAAATACGAATGAAATCTATAGATCATTCATTGAACCGAAGCCTTTTTATTATGCTATTAAAATGGTGAGTATCAATGAAAAAACACCAGCATTATACGTATTTTCATTAATATTCAGGAGAAAACCTCTTGAGATGTCTTCTCGCTTTCAAGCTCATCTTTTTGACATGATAAAGGGACGACGAGCTTAGCAATTTATCTCAACAACGTCTCTTTTATTTCGCAAATACAGAACTCATGCACTGAATATCGGCTTCATCTTCTTCTTTCAATACGTCTATTGTTTCACCATTGTTTCTGACATGATAGAATTGTAAGACAAACGAGCACATTCAGATAACTGCGACCATCTCGATGTAGTAGAACAGAAAGCTCGTTCTCCGTTGCCAGTTGTTTAGGGTGTGTAGGTATGGATGTGGATGTGATAAGTGTGCGTGCAGAGTGTGGGTACGAGCGTGGTTTTAATGGGATCAATACCCATACCCAAATGCCATGTAGAAAATCAGCTATTGTGCCAAAACATACATGTATTATCAAAGACTCACTTAGACTTTATCAACTTGCTATATATTTAGCTATTTTGTTATATGGGTCAAGTTAATTATTGGTCGAGATAGAGGAAATTTCGTCATCTATGAGTGGCACCTAAATTATGAAGTGCAAAGTGCGATTTGAAGCATTTATTAATGACACGAAATGCTTCCTCACGCTTCATACAATGCTCTACAAGATGATGATCATAAGTTTTTCAAACGATGACTTCGAATTTCTGATCTTTGAAGTTATGAGTTTCGCGGCCAAACCGTTATACATCCTCAGTTCTTCCTTCATGAATGTAGGTTGGAATTAAAGTCCTCGTTTTCGGAGAGTTCTTTTCATTGGTACTAGTGCAGCTAAAAATGCATCGTTAAAAGTGCAAATTTGCACACAGTACTACAAACTCTTACTTTTCTCAAATCTCAAACGTACGCATACAACGTCTCGAGTTTACAGTTAGTACCTTTGATTGAGAGCCGCTACTCTTTCACATAAGTTCTTTGATTCTTTCAAATAACTTTCGACTCGAATTCAATTCTGCAGCAAGATTTAAGTTTACAGAGATCAATACATATTTTTAAAACATTGTTTTCTGCTGTGATTGCATGTGGCTCAGGTCACATTAATAGAGGGTATGAAATAAATAGTAGGAAATAAAAATCAAAGGCTGCCTTTTGCTTTCGAAAATTTAGAACAATATTTCTGCAGTATTCTTAATTCTTATGGTCACCACAAACAAAAAACCTGCATGGACTTTTATAGTTACAATGGACTTTAGAGTTATATCACATTTTCATTTCTTAATATATGTCGTTATTTCAAATGAATGCTTTACTAGTGTGAAAGTTTGAACGACAGGAATTATATATGTCTTAAAAAGTACGGAAAACACCTCCAAGTCTGCCATTGGCGCCCCTGCAGAACATCACTCCGAACTCATTTCCCACTTGCTGAGTACACTTCGCAGATGAGGTTCTCATTCCATCGTAAATCTTTTCATAAAAAGGTATCTACTTTCAATACATGTCTGACAGTTGTTTCTGACTTCCATTGAGAAACGGAAATATAAACAAACTTAGTATCTAGGGATGCAACAATTCAAATCCGAGTCAATTCCAAGTCTTGGATTGACTGGAATTGGTTGGAATTGGAATTGGAATTGGAATTGGTCGGAATTGGTCGGAATTGGAATTGGAATTGGTGTGGAATTGACTGGAATTGGAATGGAATTGGAATTGGAATGGAATTGGTTGGAATTGGTCAGAACTGGTCGGAATTGGCCTGGAATTGGTCTGGAATTGGCCGGTATTGGTTGCAATCAGCATCGATTAGTGGTAGGTATGTCACAATTCCAATGCAATATTGACCTATTGGTATTGAATAGTATTCGTATTGCTATATCCCTAATTTTTTCGCTCAAGGAGGGTTTTTTAAGAAAATAACGATTCTTTATAAAGTTTCACCAAAGGTTTTCGGGGTCGAGGAATCCGAATCTGCAATCAATTTTCAAAATATTGAGCTTGACATTTTTACTTAAAAAATCCTTTTTTCGCGAAAAAATCGCTTTTTCTGGAAGACATTCTTTTAGTGTAAAAAGTTTTTTAAAGAAAATAAATGTGCACTCTAAATAAAAATCGTTTTCTCGGAAGTCCAAATAGGTTTCCAGACTGATTGCGGAAACCTGAATACGTTTCCTGGCTAATCTCGGATACTTTTAGAAGGTTGTTGGAACGAAAAAATGGGGCTCCGACTTTCGGAAACCTTCAAAAACGTTTCAGATAGTGGCAAAGCCGGAAACGCCGAGAGGTTTCCTGGAAAATGACAGGGTTTCTAGATTTTTGGAAACAAATCATTTTTTCCGGAAACCCTTCAGCATTTCCGGATTTGTCACCTTCTGAAACGTTTTTAAGGTTTCCGAAAGTCGGAAACCCATTTTTTTCGTTCCAACAACCTTCTAAAGATATCCGAGATCAGTCCGGAAGCGTATTTAGTTTTCCGGAATCAATCTGGAAACCTATTTGAGTTTCCGAACGCTCGGAATCCTATTTTCCTGGGTTTCCAAGAAAACGATTTTTATTTAGAGTGTGGAAACATCGAATTTAAACCCGAGTGTTATGTATACTTCAAAAAGTAAAAATAATTGATGACAGATTGATTTTAATCAAACTGTCTAAGAACGAGTCATCATAGCATGTGTACACATGAAAATTATCCTAGCAAGCGGTTTTTCCTAAAACTCGATTTCTATTGGTTGCTGGTCAACCAATAGGAATTCAACGCAGGTGGAGATCAGATTCAAGTTCTCCGCCACAGAAAATATTTGTTGAAGCTTAATAAAACCTGGAAGAATCGCTTCTCTGATCGAAAAACGGGGCTTACATTTTGTACCAATCAGAGCGTGGACAAACACAAGAGCAATTTCCGTTTAAGAGAGCGTCCATGTGAGGACCGAGCATCGTCCCAGTATATGAGGCACTGTTCAAAATTTAATTTTTCGCTTTTCTATGTGCANTGATTTCTGGTCTATAGTTTTGAAGTTCGATCGATTAACTTCACTCAAAATATTATCCTATCTTCAAGATGAACTTCGTGCAACTGAACTTCAAATCTTACATGATTGTGCGCCGCACTTGTCTCTTTTATGCATTCATACCTTCTTGACAGACTGACTTTTAGAAACGTTAGCATTTGAAAGATTGAATATGTCGATATATCATCTTGGTACGATAATGAACAATGCATTGCGTTAAGTCGATTACGACTTGGCATACAATGTGAAGTGCTTTCTATTTATGTGACAAATCGCGCATGTATATCTTATCTGCTGAATAATATGATCAATCTTCGAGTCTTGAATATTCAATGTAAAGATAACAAGCTCTATAAAGAGTTCATCTAGCCAGAAGATGAATTTATCGACTAACTACGAGACCATTCGTCATCGGTATATCCAATTTTAAAGAATTGTCATTGGTGCAGTGCTAGTCGATTATGGATTCGTTAATAAAAAAAATTTCAATATCATTGAGAAAGGGTTAGCAGATTTCATTTGTATGAAACATCAGCAGTAGGTCTTTATTGGGAAATGTGAAGGTTCGTGCAGTAGGCGCGCATTGGCATTTGTAGTCAGATAACTTCATTTTCTGATCTAATATCAAACGAAGTTTTTGTTTCAAATAGCAGATCTTTTTAACAGTTTTTGTTACTAAGGATTTCGTCGAACTTTACTTGTTGTTTGTCACAATAGAATTGAAGGCACAACATTGAAAAGAATTTTTCACTTGAAATGGTATACAATAATCGCTCAACATCAAGGTGTGGGTGTAAGTGAAGCGTGCATGTGGGGTTTAAGTGAGTGGTTGTTGGTGTCTGTCTTTAGTTGCCTTCAGAACTACACCTTACACCCACACCCTTCATCCAGAAAAAGTCATGTTTGAATTACAAAAATTTTGTAATGTTATAAATGAACTACGTGATAAATGATAAAAAGACTCATATTCAAAAATGTTATGCTGATCTGCTTCAATGATTATCAGTTTGCAAACTGGTTCAATGCCTAGTAAAATAAAGTTTTATATGAATGCTATTAATATGAGCCTCGTGGCGGTAATGCTTCATGTTCATTGAGACAAACACGATAAGTAAATTCATCAGCACAAGCCATTCGAAGTCGTTCGACTGTTGCTGGTGAATGAAGTGTAAAGTAGCCAGATAAACCTTGCTGTTCTCGATAGGTTTGGCATGCATGCTTCAAGGCAAAAAACGCCGAAGCAGCCAATAGAACTGGTGGTTCACCAATACCTTTGGACGAATAGACAGCTCGTGGATTTAACGAATCAGATAATAGTGACACACGAAAATCGATTGGAACGTCGCTAAATGATGGAATTTTATATGTATCTACTCCACAAGTAAATAATTTTCCTGGTGGAATCCATTTGTACAGTTTCTCATCACCCCAGATGAGTTCTTCCATGGTAAACAAGCCTATTCCTTGCATAAAACCACCTTCGATTTGACCAATATCAATATGAGGATTGAGCGATATACCAACATCCTATAATAATTAAAATAGATTTATTATTAATCATATAAGATGTAACATACCATAAGAATATCAACACGTAAAATATGCCAATCTCCTGTTAACACATCTAATTCAACTTCGGTCACTGCGGCACCTTGTGTAAAATAACTGTACTTGGTTTGATTTTTTGTAAAATTAGCATCAAACAGATTTAGTATTGGATGGAATCCACGTGCGCATAAATCGAGGCGAGCAAAATAAGCTTGTTTTACAAGGTCTTTCCATGAAATATTAACATTCTTATCAACGATGAGTGAATCTAATCGTTGACGAATTTGTTCACATGCATGTTTTACAGCCATTCCATTACGATCCGAGGACACTGATCCACCAGTTACAGTCGCATTGTGAACTTTATCTGTTGCTGTTTCACTAATTCGTATCCGATCAACACCACAGGATAATATTTCAGCAGCAATTGCTATCATTTTTGTATTGAGTCCTTGACCCATTTCCACACCGCCGTGGCTAATTACTACTGAACCATCTTTATAAACATGTACAAGAGCTCCTGCCTGATCATAAAATTCATTTGGAGCACCAATTCCAAATTTGACGGGCATCATACTTATACCACGTTTGCGATACATATTTTTCTGATTAAATTCTTCAACATTATTTTGTCTTTGAATAAAATCACTTGATTTGTTAAGTTCATCCAAAATACGCGGGACATTCCATTGTTCTAAAACTTGTCCATAATGAGTTGTATCACCTTCTTTGAATAAATTAATACGACGAATATCGAACGGATCACACTTCAAATATGCAGCAACATGTTCTACGATTGTTTCACAAGCTAACATAGCTTGTGGTCCACCAAAACCACGAAAAGCTTAAATCAGAAAAAGAAACCTTGTATTTACTTGACGTATTTGTGTAATAAACCTGTATTTGATGGTAAATGTGTTTTACAAACGCGACCACGAATTCGAAGATTAGGAAATTCATATGAATTTCCTAGATGAAACATAGAATGTTCCATAACATATTTTGAGGAATCCAGTGTACAACCAGCATTACTCCACATTTGAATATCAAGTCCTAAAAAGCGACCTTCGTTATTGAATGCTACTTTATATTTAATTTTAAATGGATGTCGATGTCCAGTTATTGATATATCAGTAGAACGGTCAAGATTGAGACGAACAGGACATCCAAGTTTAACCGCTGCTACTGCTGTGGCAAGGCATAGAGGTAAACTGAAACAAGACAAAACTATGATAAAATATGTTGCAACAAATCTACCATGGTTTGTTTTTCAATTTATCTGTTATGAATACTTTTCTATGAGAAAAATTATGTTTGATGTGTTAGATTCAATGAAAGACTCGATTTGTTTATTTTTCATAAAAAACTAAGATGGACATACTATAGTAAAATATATATGAACTATTCACGCTAATTGACTAAACTGGTTAAGAAATGTATTTACATGCTTATTTCGTTCAAATCTTCGATTAATTTATATCGCAAACAAATAAACATGGAATATAATTTCTTTATACTTTGCACTTTGTTGACCTTAGAAATGATAATATGAATAACATATTCAAGTTTCAATAATAATAAATATACTAGTCAAATTGATGCTTGTAGGTATACAAAAACGTCCGTAGCTAACATCAAACGTTTTCGATGATTTTTACTAACTCATATTTACTTTGATTTATTGAAGAGAAAGAATGCTGACATAGAGTAGAAAAATAAAATATTAGTAGAGTCTTTTGTGAAGCAAAACGATTTGAAACATACATTGTATATGAAAAATCGATATATATATGTCACTTCTGTATTGGAAAAATAAAATATTTCACTCACGGTCTTGTTGCTTTTCCACCAAATGCACCACCGATTCTTTTGACATGACATGTTATATGATTAACGTTTCGACCAAGTACAAATGCTGCTGATTCTTGAGCAGTACTCGGATCTTGTGTTCCAAAATATAAATTTATTTCTTTATCATCATTTGATGGTATAACCATAAAAGAATTTGGTTCCAAATAAAAATGTTCTTGACCACCAATGTATACTGTATCTTCTAAAATATGTTCAGCTTTAAGAAAAACTGAGTCAACATCTCCTTTTCCAGCAGAAATTTCCTCATTAAAATAAGATTGATGAATAATAGCATCATCAATAGAGAAAATCCTTGGTAATAATGAATCATACTCAACTTTAACAAGAGTTGAAGCTAATTTAGCTGCATGTTCAGATTCACAAACAACAAGACCAATTACAGCACCAACACAAGGTGCAATTGATGATACGAATATTTCTTCATTAGATAAAAAATTAGCTAAATTATTCGAGCCTTGTACATCAGTATAATTAACAAATGATACAAATCCGGCCACTTGTGAAGCATTTTCAATATCTATTTAATGTATTAATATTAATAAAATGTATAGAAAATAAAAATAAGATCTACCAATATGTTTTATTCGTGCATTTGCTTGTGTACTAAGTACAAGTGCAGCATAAAGTGTATTGACATGAGATGGCATATCATCTATATATATAGCTTCTCCCGTTGTGTGTAAATAAGCTGATTGATGTGATAATGAACTACCAACGATTTTTTGTGTTACAGGTCGTTCAGGTATTGTCTGTTGACCATGAGATACTTCTCGATGATAATAACTATCAATTGAATCGATCGATGATTGACGTAATTCGGTAGATACATATGAATAAAATTTAAATAGAAATGATTGCACTAATGTTTGTCTAAAAAAATTTCAAAAATAATCATAACATGAACAGATAATAGTTACCTATATTGATATTGACCACGTGAACTTAATTTATCGAGTGACATTTCTTTAATAAGCAATTCATATGCTTGATTAATTGTTTGTTTTGTCCATGGTAATCCAATTAATTGTTGTTGAGTATTTATTGCTGAAATAGTTTTTGATGCCATTCCACCAAATGAAAAACAAGCTGCAACAATTTTCCATTGGTTATCAATAGAATCGATTTTCTCAAGTTCAACGTTAAATGCTGCACTAACAATTCCTTTTGAATCATCTCGACGACGAGCTTGTTTATACGATCGAAGAAAATATTTATTTGATGAATTTTTAAGAGGAATATGAATTGCAACAAGAATTTCATTGTTTGCAATTGATACACGACGATTACCGAGAAAAAAGTCACGTAAATTAGTTTGACGTACTTTTTCATTATCAGCACGATGCAGTTCAAGTATAGCACCTGCAGCTTCTAATATGGGATTGATATCTGAACTAAAACAAAAATAACGGGTAGATTTTTAAGAAATTTTCTTGAGCATTATTTACTCAGGTGCAGCAGTGATTATATTTCCACCAATTGATGCAACATTACGTATTTGTGTTGATGCAAAATGTTTCATTTGATCTAATAGAGCTTGACAAAAACTATCTTCATCTTTCCACTGCATTAATTTTGATTTTAAATGTGAAAATGTAACACCAGCTCCAATATACAATGAATCCTTCGTTCGTTTTAATTCTTGCAATTCTTTAATATATGTTATTGATATCAAACGAGAATTATTCATTTTATTATATCTTCTTTCAAATTCAACTCTTGTATTGCCAAAAACAAGTGTTGATTGGTGACCTGGATAAGTATGACGAAGAAGAATAAGTTCATTCAATGATATTGGCCGATACCATTCAAATGAAGAACCTAATTCATTATAAAGATAATATTAAGCATACAAATGAATCTTTTCATACGATAAAGAATCTTTTCAAATTGTCCAAAAGGAATGAACGTCTAGACTAGGAAAAATAACTTGATTATATCGATGCTAATTAAGATTTAGCTGAGATCATAAATTTTACTGCATTGCATCACTTTTTTGTGGAACTCACATATATTTTCGACGAAAATAGTGAGTGTAAGTTTTAAGTTCGAGTTTTTGCGCGCCGCCCCCTCCTTACAGACCTTCACAATCAATAATAAAAGGTGTTTAATTTTCTCGAGTTTTTTTTTGGAAAATTGATTCAGGTATATTTTTGAAAAATAATGAATATCATTATTTGTGTCTTGATTAATAATATATGATAGTGTGTAAGGTCTGCTGTAGATATCATAGGTATGTAAAACACACTTATTTGTTAATCAATTCAATGATTATCATAAAATAATAAGAATGATAAATTAAGAAAAATGAATTAAAAAAATAAAAAAATAATGAGTGAATAGCAACAATGCAAATAAAAAATAGGGCGCTCATAGAAAAAAAGTTTAAAAAACATTCTGTTCGAAATTAGAGAAATTCTTACTCTTGTGATTGATTTTTCTGCAAAACAATATAGTCTATGAGAGATTTTTCATTTTACGCATTTTCTATCAGTTGAATGGGGCTAGAGAGCATATGCGAGTTCCATATTTCAGCCCCTTTTGGGCTGCGCTAACAAGCTTTTTTTAAATAAAATCAACTTTCAAAATTATGATCGGAACATATCTTCACGCGAAAGCTTGACATGTATTAATAAGTTTATTTACAAAGTTTCAAAGAAACCTTTTTCAGAGTATTGATTCTTCATAGTATTCATAAAAAATCGATAAATTTCGATTAAAAAATAGGTATATAGTTGAATATAGGAATGTCTTACAGGATATCTAGTCATAACTAGATAGTTTTATTAAGGGGAAAACAACGTACTTGTTAACTTCAAATCCACCACTCCGTTCTTGAGCTTTATTCAAAAACTCCTTTATTTGATGTTTGTTCTTAAACCGAAGTCTACATTGAAAATTCGAGAAATCATCTTACTTGCAAATTGATCTCTTACAGCAACATTTGTACATATTATTTTAGATTTTTTTTCTGAATAATACATGTTCGTCTTGGTCAAAAAGAGACTCTAGCTTCACAAGGTATTCATCACCTAAGAATGTTCACTCTTTAAATTAATATAATATGATACCTTTAATATGAATTGATTGAGGAACATAATCTCGAAGTTTGTTGGGAAATTCTACTTGATTAATAGGTGACGTATTTTGATGAGCATATGACAAAAATTTATCAAATGTAGTTGATGTTGTTGGTGATGAGGATTTTTGATAATCAAGTTTTTGAATATCACATGCAAATGTTTTTGCAGCATCAAGGATTGGACGATATCCAGTACATCGACAAAGATTTCCATCAAAAGATTCTTCAATATCTTTCATTGTTGGTAATGAGTCATTTTTTGATGTAACTATTCCATATAAAGACATAACCATACCTGGTGTACAAAAACCACATTGTGAAGCAAATAATTCTGCAAGACGACTTTGAGTAACATGAAGATTTGCTTTGTTAGTTGAACCTAACCCTTCGACAGTTACAATATGGCACCCATCAATCGAACATACAGGTGCCAAACAAGCATTTATTGTGCGATGTTCAATTTCACCAGAATCTCGATCAATACATCGTGAAATTAAAACTGTACAAGCTCCACAACCACCTTCACCACAGCCTAATTTCGTACCAGTCAATCTTAATTCTAAATAGGAAAAAAATAGTTATAAATCTCATTTAAGTACGTGTGCAATGAAACCAAGATCTTGAGATTTGGTTTAGATCTGGGTCTCAGATAACATAACTCAAATGTTGGGATCATGCGAATTTAAGACTCGGGTCCAAACTCCAGATCCAAACGATAGCTGAATCCTCAGTGCTAAATCAAACTGAATCTAAATAATAGCTGCGAACCGATGTCTCGAATTCAAACGAAATCTAACAATGGAGGTGTTTGTACTGTCCATCGAAAAAGTGGCACATATTCGGGTCAAATGAAAGCTCTCATCGCCAAACTAACAAGGTTAAAATATTAGCTGCTAATGGCTTGCCTAGAGGGAGATATTTAACTTTTAAATTTAGGTATAATAATGAATGAGGAAAGGCTTTCTCTACTATTATAAGGACAAAACATAGTGTTGTTCGGGGCGATTAGGGGGTTTGTAGGGACCCTCTTTCATATGGCCCGAACAACACCATGTTCTGTCTTTATAGTAGTAGAGTGAATTTTGTTGTAGCTCACGAAAACAGGGTGTGGGCGTGGGTGTGGGTATGGGTCTGGGTGTGGGTGTGGGTCTGGGTCTGGGTCTGGGTCTGGATCTTCTCACCCACACCCACATCCATATAATCAAACCTTTTAACGGGATGCGCCAATAACTTCAAAATGTCGTTCTTTGACCAAACATAATATCAGAAAAATGGCACGCAATGAATATTTTTTTATTTTTTTCCAATCATGTTTGTAATGATTGCACCAGAAAGAAGGAGCCTTTCAGTGGTTTTTGCTATAACTCTTTTCTTTTCCAGATTTTAGGATTAATTTCAAGTTTCAATGTTTTCACCTCAATGATTCACGTTCCCAATCCTTTCAATGATGCACTGCATGCCAGTTGCACGGTTATTATGTTGGGAAATTTTTGAAATAAAAGCAATTTTTTAATAAATATTTTCTTTAGCCTGCCTTGATAATGCTTTTTCCAAAATCTGTAAAATCAAGTCGAGAGCTATTATTTCTCGATAAACGCGGGCTTATCGAGGCAATATCTTTCAGCACTTGACGGGTGAGGTGGAGATGAGTTTGCAGATAGAATATACAATCAATAGCTAGCATAACGCGTTGCAATTCCGCTTATTGAATCTTATCAATTGCTAGTGATTTAGAGGATGAGGTGGGTGTGAGGGTGTCAGTTTCGTTTCAAAAATTCAACAAAAGAGCAATTTTTTCAAGAATTTTCAGGAGTGAGTATAGTTATCACCATACAAAGTATTTCGATATTGCGTTGTCGTATTATATGTTTCAGTGTCAGTAGAAATTCATGAACACGGTCGATGAATGAATGTTTTATGATCAGTGTATTTTTTTGATCGGACATTGTTGGCATTGAGCTTTAGTGTAGTATTAGTAGATTTATAGATTATCTAGAACCGAAAAAAAGAATGGCATATATGTATATGTAAATAAGGGCGTGGGTGTGGTGGTGGGTGTGGGTGGGGTGTGGGTGTATGGGTGTAGGTGTGGGTGCCAATGATCACTAAACCCATACTCACACTCACACCCACACCCACATCTATTAAACAAAATAAATAAATTTTTCTTTTTTTTTTTCCACAGTTAATTTATATTTTAAGAATATTTCTATTATTTTATTTTCTTATTAACTGATTTTAAATCAAAAATTTTTCGTAAAATTAAAAAAGTCCAATAAATATTTAATAATCGTGTTGATATGCATAATATTGCTTGTGTTATACCAATTGTAAAACTTGTTATATCATTAGAATTCCAGGCCATAAGAAGAAAGTATGGAATAGCTCGAAATGCATAAAAACATATTATTGACCCATACATAAGACGACTTAGAAAAAAACAAATAGCAAATAATAATGAAAAAAAATGATGTAAGCGAGGTCGATGACGATAAAGTGTTTTTAAATTTAATGGAATAGTTGATAATTCTTCAGCTAGAAAATAAAAATGACATGGATGACAAACACGATAAAACAACCCTGTTAAAAATGACATTAGAATAATAATATGATGAACTATTGAAGAATTTGTTCGAACTGATTTATCTATTAGCATAAGAATTAAATCATATATTAAATAACCCGTTGAATAGCAAACACTGTATACCATTATTTCATCTCCACTACCATATATTCCTCCACCAACTATTCGATTTATTTGTTTTAAATTTATTTCATATTTTATTAAATAATTTAATACACTTATAACACTAATAAATGAATGAATTGTTGATACAATATAACTTTTAATTAATGCTGATAATGATGATGGAAGAATTTTATAAAATATTGTATTTAATATAGTTGAACAAATGATTAATGTTAATATTGGAATATCTGATGAAGGTGTATTGCCAATATCTAATCATTGGCAATATATATTTATTTTTTTTTACAATAATTAAAAATAAACTTACATTCAATACGATTACTATGATTAGACATTTGTTTTATTTATAAATAGGAAAATGGAAAAGAAAACAAAGCAACGTGATGCATCTTTTTAAAAAGTCGCCTTATTAAGATAAAAACTATCTTATAGTTACACACAAATGTATCATAGATAACGTTTCTGTTTTTATAATCGTTCCCAATTCTCAAAGATAAAAAGAAACAAAATGAGTTACGTTTCTTTTAAAATATATATCTATCATTTACAATATGTTCTGTTGCTTTTTCTTTTTTTTTATAAATGATTGATGAATATTTTTAGCATAAATAATTGCAAATGTTTCATGGAGTAGAACAGAGTAAAATGTCACGTTTATTTACGCAGTAAAGAAAAATATCTCTTTTTTTTTCTAAGTAAAAAAAAGTACGTCATTTATAAACATGATATGTACGTTACAAATGTGACATCTTTGATTAATTTTCATATACATATTTTATTTTTCTGTCATAAGGTTCTTTAATTCAAGATGGAAATCTCTAACCAAATATCGAAATAATGACAAAACTCTACCGAAAAAATTCATTATTTTATGCTAAACAAATTTTTATTGAATTTGTTTTCTTTCGAAAAGATTTTTAATTAAAGATTTTAACATAGACAATAAAATCAATTACTTATCTGTTTATTCGAATGGAAAATATGAATTTCTATTAGAAACAAATCGACTATTGAAATTATTTAATAAGATAAATGTTTCTTTTTCTGAACAACTACCAAATCTTTTCTCAAGCGTTATAAAATCCATTTAAACAATAAACGACTGACAACTATGAAAATAACTATGAAAATTTCTAAACTATTGATGAGTATGTTAATATAGGATGTGCGATAAAACAGCTCTTGATTATAATACATTCAAACTTCGGAGGGTGTGGATGTGGGTGTGGGGTGTGGGTGTGGGTGTAGATGTCGGTGGGTGTGGGGTGGGGGGTGTGGGTGTGGGTGTGGGTGGGTGTGGGTGTGCGGGTGTGGGTTAAAGTGTAATTGGATTGAAGATTCAGCCTCACACAGACACACACCCATGCCTCACATCCACATCTGCACCCCGCCCACACCGACACCCACACCCACACCCACAATTGTTGTTTAAAGATCTTCCTATCTATCAGATTGATTTCCAAGTCTATCAATAACTGTTAACAATTTTTAAATGTATTACATTAAAAATTCTATTAATTTTTTTATTTTTTTTTTCATTAGAAAAATAATAAGTTTTATTATAATTAAGACTCATAAGATTTTCTTTAAATCTTTTCTAACAATATTCTTTATCAATAATATGAGTTGAGACTATTGTCTAGAACATGATTATTTTTCTAATTATTGATTTACTGAAGAAATATTCAATTAAAATTGCTTTTATCAAATAAACAGAACCTATAATCATACATACTTTTGTTTTCATTTCGCTAAAATATATTTCAATGATAAACTGATGCCCATTCAGAAAAAAAAGGCGGATGGGAATTTTCGAATAACTTTTGATAGGAGCAAGATAGAGAGCTGCGGTTTTCATTGTTACAAAGAGGGATGGAGACTTATCGAATCATATATTATAAGATAATTTGAGATAGTTTTTTCAAAGGCATAAAGCGGCGTTTTTGGAAACTAGCATATTTCGTAAGGTGACTCAAATGATTTTTCAATAATTTCGCGTGCATTTCAATCGCTAACAGAAGATCTAAAAATTCTGCGCAAGGCCGAGACGTTTAGATTTATCTGTTCAGAAGTTATACGTATCCCTGTGGAAATTCTTAGTCGATTTTTCTATTAATTTCTGTGAAAAAAAATCACTTTTTTTGCGTTTTTTCCATAAAATGGGAACTCAATTTTTCGACATTTCTTTAAAAATTGATTATAAAAACTTTTAAAAAGTCTGTATTATACGATTCAATGCATCTTCAACTCCTCTTTCCAGCGGTGAAAATCGCAGCTCTCTATATTTCCCCTATCAAAAGTTATTCGTAAAATACCCACCCGCCTTTTTTTTCTGAATGAACATTAGTTTTCTCTATGATATTAATTTTCCGTTGTTGACTATCCATTATATGTCAGTTNAATTCTCCAACATCGAGTTGTCTTTGAATAAAATCACTTGATTTAGTAAGTTCATTCAAAATTCGTGGTACATTCCATTGGTCTAAAATTTGTCCATAATGAGTTGTATCACCTTCTTTGAATAAATTAAGATAACGAATAGCCAATGGATCACATTTCAGATATGCAGCAACATGTTCTACAATTGATTCACATGCTAGCATAGCTTGCGGTCCACCAAAACCACGGAAAGCTTAAGATAGAAAACAAATGTTTTGTTTATATAAACTTTTTATGAAACAAACCAGTATTTGATGGTAAATGTGTTTTACAAATACGACCATGAATTTTAATATTAGAAAATTGATATGTATTTCCCATATGAAGCATAGCGGCTTCCATAACGGTTTTTGATAGATCCAATGTACAACCAGCATTACTCCACATTTGAATATCAAGTCCTAAAAACTGACCTTCGCTGTTAAATGCTATTTTATATTTAATTTTAAATGGATGTCGGTGTCCAGTGATTGACATATCGACACAACGTTCAAGATTAAGACGAACAGGACGAGCAAGTTTAACAGCAGCTACTGCTGCAGCAAGGCACGGAGGTATACTAAAAGATAAGAAAATTATGATATAATACATTAGAACAAGGCTATCATATCGCAAATTTCAAATGAGGTGTGTACGTTTGTAAATAGAGTACGCGTGAGACACATAAGTTTAAAATCTGAAAGAAGACCAATTTTGATAAGAATATTTTTTGTGCGAAAGACTCTGTTTGATGGTTTTTATTGAACAAAATATTCGTTTTGTTCATTTTTAATGGTAATTAAAATCATAATTAAAGAATTTTTTGATACAATTCTATCATACACAATAAGAAAGGTGCATTCCAGTGAAAGAAATATTATCTATTCATATCAATCGGCTAATGTGGAAACCTCTTCAGATGTCCAGTTGCTTTTCAACCGACACGGTTTTCATTCACTCAGCTCTAAGAAGTAGTAGGACATTCTGGAATAGTTTAGTTTCCCACGTCTTTGGTTTTTAAATATCGAAACTTAACTGGGTTTTTTAACAAAAGAAAATGTCATGCTCATCTCCAGTCACTGAGAAAATCGAATTTCGAGTTTCGACTTCAAACTTTGCAGGAGCAATGCTTTCAATGAAATTAGTTCATTGATCAAGTTGTACTATATAAAATGTTCCCATTTCATTTTCACTAATTTCTCTACACTTCATACGTTGTTGAGTGTAGAAATGACATGTGAACGAAGAATTCAACTTTCAACAATAATAAATATAACAGTACGATTGAATAATATATACTTACATGTGGCTAAAATGAGAAGTTTGCGATTGTTTCTACTATCATACAATTGATTGTATTTAATGTAGAAAAACTATATAGGTTAGAAAAAAAATGTGAGCCACAGGGAGATGTTTTAGCAAAGTAGAAAAGTTCCAAATGGGATACATTTGGTAGCCGTGCGTTAGAGAGATGAAATCTTTCACTTACGATCTCGTTTCTTTTCCACCAAATGCTCCACCAATTCTTTTGACATGACAAGTTACATGACTCACATCTCGACCAAGTACCCATGCTGTTAATTCTTGAGTAAGACTTGGATTTTGTGTTCCCACATATAAATCTATTTCTTTATCATCATTTGATGGTATAACCATACAAGAATGTGTTTCCATATAAAAATGTTCTTGACCACCAATGTATAATGTATCTTCTAAAATATGTTCAGCATCCAGAAAAACTCTTTGAACATCACCTTTGCGAAGACAAAGTTCATCGTCAAAATAAGATTGATGATTAATAGCATCGTCGATAGAAAATATTCTTGGTAATAATAAATCATAATCAATTTTAACAAGACTTGAAGCTAATTTAGCTCCATGTTCGGATTCACAAACAACAAGACCAATAATAGCACCAATACAAAGAGCAACTGATGATACAAATACTTCTTCATCAGTTAACAAACCAGTCAATTTATTTGAGCCTGGCACATCAAGATAGTTAACAAATGATACAAAACCTGCAACTTTTGAAGCCTCTTCAATATCTATTATTAGATTCATTTTTAATGAAATTTATCAAAATACAAAGAGAAATTTTACCAATATGTTTTATTCGTGCATTCGCTTTTGTACTAAGTACAAATGAAGCATAAAGTGTATTAATATAAGATGGCATATCATCTACATATATAGCCTCTCCTGTTGTATGTAAGTAAGCAGATCGATGTGATAATGAACTACCAACAATCNTGTTGTTGATGGTTTGGTTTCTTCTTTATTATGAGATAATTCCACTAGCGTGTCCTGCTCAGTTTTCATATCTAGCTCTTTAACTTTTGTTGTTGATAATGAAGTAGCTTTGCTTCTTGTATTGTAACCTTGCATCAATTAATAAATAATATATTTCCAAATAAATATTCGGGTTCTTCTTGTGTGATGTTGAATTGACACGAGAATCGGTCAGGCCCCCAGTTGTTATGTCACTACTTTATTTTGAAAAGATAGAGTAACTGCGTGATCACCCTCTCCTCAAAAAAAGCTAGGAAGCACGTATATATAGTGAAAGAAAAATTGGACTAGCCAGGAAAGAAGTTGAGAGGCTTCTTCGTCTGATTGAAAAATGAACAACAGGAAGAGTTACAAAAAAATACGTCAGTCAAGAAGGATAGGTCAAACGGGTAGAAACGTATATGTAACAATTGAAAAGAAAAGAAGTGAAACACTATGTAACAGTAAACAAAGGAAAAATGATAAAAAAAAACCCAGAATAACCTAGATCATAGGTACCGAAGAGAGAAAAGAATATCATACACTAAACGAGTGATCAATCGTGTGATATATGGTAAACCAAATGGCCAATACATAACAATTTGGTGGTATGCTCGCGAAATACATAGGTGATAATGCTATCAATCAATGGGACGAATATGTTGATCGTGCCTTATTTCCATGTCGAATAAGACAACATTATGCCACAGACAAAACACCCTTTTATATGGTGTATGGTGTAGAAGCAAAATTACCAGGTGATGAATTAATTCCTATCATTAATGATGATGAACCAAACAATGTTACTAATCGTGTACAACAAATTAATCGACGACTACAACAACGTGATACTGTACATAAATGTTTAGATTCCAATGCTAATAAAATGAAGCAGTATTACGATCGCCACTTAAAAAACCACGTTGATGAACTACACGAGAATGATTGGGTATTGATACATAATGAAAACCGAAAGAAGTTTCATGCTCATTGGATTGGACCGTACAAAATTAGAAAAATTTGTCCATTCGGAACGTATCAACTGGAAAATGTTAAAGGACAAATTAAATTAGATTTAGTACACCGTGATATGTTAAAGCGGACATATGTTAATCCAAGAACAATGCAACAATGGTACAAGCCGTCTCATCGACATAATAAACACCATCTTCGTTAAAGGATGGGAGAGTGTTAGAAAAAAAAGGCGCCTATTTGTTGTTAAAAAGAAAAGTCTTCGATTAATCAGATTATTCTCGTTCTGAATACAAAAAAGTTGTGTGTTTCTTTTTTTTTATCTAAAAACTAATAAACATTCTTAACTGAAGCTAACACTATGATACAAAAATCACCGAAACAGAAATCATAAAACTTTCGAAAAGTTTCACTCTAAACATATAGATTTGACCAGATCTTTGAATTTTCAATGACAATATCAAATTTATCTCTGTCTAGAATGAAATCTTCATGCCCGAATGATAATCGATGTTTGTTATAGAGGAAGTATTTTTGTCAATAAGAACTTTATTTTGATTATTTCATAAATATTCAAGATGACACGAGAAAATTTTATTGAATATAAATAGGATAAAGTACCGGTGCAACAAGATCAAAACCACCACCATTAAATATTGGAATAAGAGTTGTTTTAGGTCCATTTTTAACACGAGTTATTGTTAATGTTTGTCTTTCTTGAAAATTGTCAATATTGAAAGAAAGTTGTTTTGGTGTCCATGTAAAACAATCATCACATTCCGATGGTTTCCATTGAATAGTAACAGTATCATTTCCATTTATTCGATGTGGAGGAGTTATTAGCCACACTTGAACTTGTGCACTTTGATTTAAATCTATTTTAGTTGTTTGAGGATAATATAAAAGGCCAAGCATAACATCTCGGCAGATGGAAGTCCAATTGCTTGGAATTGAATCAAAATATTTCTTATCTGGTTTTCCCATTGATATTATCTTATAATTAATGGTTTGTTGAACAACTTTCCATCCTTGCCGAACAACTCGAGTTGATCTAAGAGGAATTTGTGTATTTTTTTCAAAATAAATTTCTTCACATGGATAATTTTTTCCACTATCAACTTGACATGTTACATTTGCATACCAATAATCTTCATTGACAGAAGAATCATTTGAATGTATCATTTCATATATAAATTTCAAATAATTATCGACTTTAAATGAAGTTTGATTAACCCACCAATGAGAAGGAAATGAATTAATTATATTTCCACCATATTTCCAATATGTTCCATACATACAACCAAAAGGTATGGAATCTATTATCAATTGAACATAATATTTTGATTGGGGTGAATCAGGAATCGCGTTGGGAAAATGTTTCATCACGTATGATGTTGATTCTCCTGTAGCACCATACTGAAGTGATTGATAAGCTCGTTGATTGACTTCATCAATGGCAATTATTGTTCGACCATCATTAGGAGAGAAGACAATCTGTGGTGGAAAAAATGGCTGTGGTGCAGATTCTCCCTTATAATAATATAGAAGAAATGATATCAAACACAAGAAGATTTTCATCATCTAAAATAAGGATTAGACTTTTCGGTGTCAGATTGTAATCAAAAGTTAGAAGATTGCACCCCGAAATTCTTGTTGATCGTTAATTTAAAGATCAGAACAAGTGTATCGGATGCGATATTTTGCCTTTTATTAAAACATTTTGTTTTTCTTACCTTCACAAAAAAGTGTCACTGTAATATGAGACGTATTGTAGTATATATATGTTCGACACCTGTTCGATTTCCATTGGATTTTTTTCTAAAGACAGTTTAAAAGTAAATCATCATGAAATAATGCTTTGACAAAAAATCTATTAACGATATATTTGTCTTTTATTCTTCTCAAGCTTTTCTTCTACCATCTGCGTCAGCTTTATCATAAATCACATTAATCTTGAATTTTTTATATTTTGATCGAGAACAAATCAATTTTGTTTTAATCACTGATTGAAATGACCGAAGTTTTATTTCTCAATATTTAATAGTTAAATGAATTTTTATTGATTTTTTTTAAAGACTCAATAAATGATTTTTATGAGAAAACAATCGAAATCGAAATTTTATTCTTTGTAAATCAAATATGGCAACATACTATTTTACTAACTTAGTCAAAATATTCTCACTAGAATATTTTCCATTGCATATTCATCAATCGATGGATATTTTTCAAAAAAAAAACAAATGGTGATCTGTTTCAACAGAGATAAACACTGACTCAATCCTTTTGAGATATATTTTAAAAACATATGTGGAAAAAATCAAGACTAGAGGAAAGTGAACACAAGTTAAAAAGTATCTAATGATAATTGTACTAAATCTATGAAAGTATCAATAGAATGTATTCATATCTTTTCTCATTGAAAGTACGACATTTTGGTTAGAATTTTGAAATGCAATAGAGATTTTATGAGAATTTCTTGCACAAATTACACAGAAATATTATTTTTGTTCCATTTAAGAAAATCGATCTTTGTGAGTATTTATAAGGTCTACAATGAATTATAAAATAGCAAAAGAAAAAAAAACATTTATCCAACGTTATAAAATTTCTCTTTTTCTGTAGCTTTCACGAAAACTGGTCTTACATATATGAATCTATAGATTTCAAAGAGCTTGTAAACGATTGTGACCCGATGCAGAGCCACCCACCGCCACACAGCTAAACAAGTGAACAAAATTCTGTGATAAATTAAAAAGAAAAATGCATAAATATACTAAATTTTCTATTATACAATTGTTGTTCAAGATTTATGTGTAACGGTTAAAATACTTTCATTGCGCACGAACAAATTATTTAATAATATTTGAATTTCAAGCTTCAACATTCATATGTTTATTACTCATATTTTGTGAAAAAGTCCATTGCACTTTACTTGTTTCAACTCTTGTATATTTATTCCTGTATTTGTTTTCTCAGAGTGTCATATACAGGGTGTAACATAACTGTTACGTCCCCCACTAGAACTTAAAGTATAAATGATATCAAAGAGTATTATATACCAAACTAATGCTCGTCTCAAACTGGATTTATGAGTATAATTAATACATCTTAGAACAATTATTGGGTATAAAATTACTGAAATGCCTTGAAATACATGCCGAAATACGCTCGTATTTTACGATTTTCATTCTTCATCTAGATATTTTCACCAAAAATAATAGCAGATTCGTAATCCTCATAAAAACTGCATCTACAGACATGTCATTTGTATCTTTTTGACGAAAAAAGTTTTTTCAAAAACCTTGCGTGGTGTGTATTTTAGGCATAAAATGCGCATTCCTCAGGATTTTTTGAAAACCATTTTTTTTCGTCAAAACGATACAAATGACATGCGTATAGATGCAGTTTTTTATGAAGATTACGAATCTGCTATTATTTTTGGTGAAAATATCTAGATGAAGAATGAAAATCGTAAAATACGAGCGCATTTCGGCATGCATTTCTAGACATTTCAGTAATTTTACACCCAATAATTGTTCTAAGGTCTATTAATTATACTCATAAATCCAGTTTGAGACGAGCATTAATTTGGTATATAATACTCTTTGATATCATTTATACTTTAAGTTCTAGAGGGGGACGTAATAGTTATGTTACACCTTGTAGATGAATAATGGTGTGTTTTTGTTTCTTACGTTGTTTGATGCTGAAATACTCATCTATTGACATAGATGCATCATTGATGTTTTTTTTTGGTTTTTTCTTATCTTATCAGTGGCTATATTTCTATTTAACTGAATATATACTCTTAAAATCGTCCCTTGCTACATGAGAATCAACTACTATCAGAATTTTTAAAGACGATCGGTGGAAGAAAAGCTTATAACTTTTGAATGGAAAGTCATAGCGACCTGAGGGTGTGGGTGTAGATGTGGATGAGTGTGGGTGTGGATGAATGTGGGTGTGGGGTGTGGGTGTGGGGTATGGATGTGGGTGTGGGTGTGGAGTGTGGGTGTGGGGTGTGTATAAGTTACCACGATAACCTAATAGATTATTTCGTATGTTTCTAGTTGAGTCTGTAGGAATTGTTTTATGCGTCAGCTTAATTGGATGTATGATGTTTTTTTTTGGGTTGTAGGAGTATATGTGTTTTTTGCGGCTGTGGTGGGGTTGCTGCGCAGTTTCGGTTTGGTTGGAATTTGTGTCGATTTTTATTGATTGTTATGCTAGTTTAATTTGTTACGTTTTATTCTTTGTATTGGTGAGCGATATAATTTAGAGTGAACATGTTACTTGTTGTAATTGTCTCGTTTCTTGCCTGATGAGTTGTCGTTTAGTTTATGATTATTCATTTTTCTGTATAATTGCGTTATTCTTTAATTGTGTTTTTTAATCTGAAAAGTAGTGAGGAGAACTAGCTGTGTTTTGAAATCGGTTAATGATGAAATAGCAGATGTTTATTGAAGAAATATGAAAAATACAGAGTTCGGCTACTTACATTCGATGCAGTGTTTGACACTAACTATGAATATATTGTTCATTTACCCTTACAATCAATATATAGTTATAAAAATGGCTATGCCAGAATGTCTGCGTATTTATACTGGATGTTTTTTTTTAACTCTTTCAACTTACAATCCATTCAAATGAAATTTTTCTACTCAGTTTTTAATGCTGAACCAGAATATGACATTTTTAAAAAATTCACAAAATAACTGGAATTGAAATTTGACAATTGCTACAAAAAAAAGTAAATTCATCATGAAAGTACAACTGTCTTAGACATTCTAGTTTTTTAAGATTTTTTTTTTTAGCCAAATAGTGACCAGTTTCAAACGAAAGATATATATTCATGACCGATATACTGTCGATTCTCATGGATGCCGTGGTATACTCGTCGTATTGCGAANGTGTTTCTCTTTTCTTTCTCGTCTCATTTCATTTAAGAATGTTTGACGAATATAAATCATACACTGTTCGAAAGAGAAGAAAATTTATTATCAAATGATAAAAAAATATTCGCTTTAAAACTTGTTTGTCGAAGAATTGTAGAGAACAAGATTTTGTGCCGTTTTTCTGAATCTCACGAAAAGTGCAGATTGTATTTAAGGGTGCTTCTCTTTTCTGTTGTATGGTTTCGTTAATGAACCTGTTATAGAAATAATTTACATACGATTTGCAAGAGGAGAAAAAGCTCTATCTTTTGGTACAAAAAATTTATCTTTCAGTACCGTTCTATCGAAGAGAAAATATGGATCGGTATTTTGTGTCATAACTTTTGCATCATATATTATATGCATATTCTATAAATCCAAACGTTGATCAATCAATTTCAAAATATTTTTTGTGAGGATTAGTGTATTTCAATACGAGCAGCTACAAGCATTATGATAAGATCAGTAGATAGCCTTCAGTTTACTGTCACTTTCTTGTAAAAATCAGTTCACCAAACCATCATTTCAAATTTCGGAAAATTTTTCTCGTGAAATTACCTAATTTTAATGTTTGGTACGATGCATTCTTATGCTACTTTTTTTTCCTCGCTCCATTTCTATTCTTACATAAATTGTTTTCTTTGTACATACCATTCAAAAGAAACGGGAATACGCTACACAATGAGATACTTGTCTCTTTAAAAGACATGACGAACCTTGAGAACATACCAAAAGTAGAAGCTTACAAGAATAGTGATGCGTCGATACGTGGGTTCAATAAGTCTCATTTTTCTCAACACAAGCAAGATGGTGGGGTGTGGGTGTTGGTGTTAATCTCCTGCAGAATTACGCCAACAACCACACTCACACTCACGCTCATAACACCAATGTAATGCCTCTGGACATTCTGGTACTGGTTCCGCGAAAAGCAAAGTTCAAGTTCATTTAAACTTTCGATTTTTGAAAAATAATGTGCTATCTATCGATCATTGCCTTTCGATAAGATTTGTTGGTCGATAAAATATACGATGTGATGGCTTATTTTAAATTACACGCATTCTTACTATTCAAC